TTCTCGACAAGGAATTGGCCACCGTAGCACGACGGACTGTTCTCTGCCAGGCCTCCGTTGCCAGTGCAAGCCACCTCGTCAAAGGCTCCGCGAAGGGACTGGGGCTCTGCTGCCACCAGGGGGAGCACAAAGACGAGCGAGCGCATCACGGACATCGCGGTGAGGTCGGGGAAAAGAAGGCGAGGAGGAAATCTGGACAAGAAGACTGAGAGCCAAGACTGCGGGAAGTTGCTCATGTCCGATCTGCATCGTGGCACATGCAGACGCCCAAGTCCGAGCATTGCCTGTATGTGTGTATATATGCTCTTATCTGTTCATGCCTCGCAATACTAAGTGACCGTAGTACCTAAACTAAACGAACAACCATGGCCACAATCCTAAACCAAAGAGCCAACAAACCAAAGCCCCAAAACTCCAACCTCCAAACCCCTGCTAAACCCCTAACCTATGCGGTTTCAGGCGTCCTGAACCGTAAACCTTGAATCCTAAACTCCTGAACTTTCAATGTGGGCTGGGGCGCACCGTTAGCGCCGCTGGGAGATCGATCGTTTCCCCTCTGGCCCGGCCACCGCTTTCCAAGGCCCATCGGAACTCCTCCGTGGAGTCTGACGGCTTGTCTTCGTGGTATATGACAGGGTTTAGGGCTTATAGGGCTTCGGGGGCTATGATAGGGTTTACGGTGCGGGGGTTTAAGATTTAGGGGTGTGGGAATTAAGGCGCAAGGGGTGGAGTTGAAATTCAGCAAATGGATTTCAGGCTGCTGCATGAACTTGTGAAGTTGTTTGGGGGGTTGTGGTTTCGATACTGCGGGGGCTTCTTTCTGCTTGATACCCTTTAGGCGGTTGCGTTTCAACGCTGAACTACTCGGCTGAAGCCCACACCCGAAACCCTAAGTCTATGCACGAAACCCAAACCCCAATTGCTAAGCCAAGGCCAACCCCAACACCCCAAAGCCTGGACCAAATCCCTGAAGCTTAGACTTAAACCCTGTAAACTAACCCTACTCACTGAAACTTTGTCAGTAAACCCTGAGCCCCACAAATGCCAAATCCCGAGTCCCAAACCTCCTGGAAACCTAAACCTTTAAGCAGCCCTCAAGCCCCAAAACCCCCAAAACTCTGGAACCCGAAACCCAACATTCCTGAAATGCACCCCTCCCCCCCCCACCAAACCCTAAACCCT